CTGCACTATTTTCTCGGTGCAGCGGGAGGGAAGAGTCCTCACCTCTTCCGAACCCCGGTTTTCTTTTTCCAAAGATAATTTTGTCTGGGCCCCGCGCCCTCTGTCCAGACAGCCCAGGGTATAGGGCTCAGACCCTCCTAATTGACATATTTCAACAGGTTGGTTAGGAGCCGTTGGTTGCTCTTTGGCCCTGTAGCGAAGGGTGGGAGGATCGCCTCGGCTCCCCAGGCTGAGCTGGTCGGGGGTGCCTCCGGCAGCGTCCTGTCGGGTAGGGGGTGGGGTGGCGCAGTGGGCAGCTCTCCGTAGGCTCCCAAGCACTAGGATCTTAGGGGACTGAGCACAAGGGAAACTTTCCCTTTCTCCTCGGGGGAGAGCTGGGAGTCCTGAGCACTGAGCACTCCCTCCTACGTCCCCCTTCCTGCTCCGGCCAGGTCAGCCAATGAATGCCCTTGGCACTTACTGAACCCAAGCTCCGGACTCCCAGGTCCCGGTCTCCTCTTGTTAGTTCAGTGCAAAATCGGAAGCGTTCTCCCTCCACCTGCCATCTCTTGGACCCCACTGCATGGCTCCTTCTGGGACTGCCATCGTTGTCGACACAGAGTGGGAAGTCCAGAACTGGGCGTTGACCCAGATACGAATGGAGAAGAGTTGACGGGGAAATGCTAAGGCCAAAGAGTTCGGGGCTGTGTAAACACAAGAACAAATAAAGGCGAAGGGACTATTCAGTGACTGAACGAGGACCCCCGGAAGCCGCGGATGCTGTGTGACAGATGAGGCTAGGCCGCCTGGGCGGGGAAGAATGTGGGGTTCCCGGCCTGGAAGAAAGGAACTGCCCTTTAGGCCTACAGAGGAAGCTAGGACATGCGACCTCCCACAAGTCGTCAGGACAAGCCTGGCGTCCGGAGGATGAAGGATCCCTGTTCTTGGGGGGCAGCAGGTGGGAATTACTTTCCGACCTGCGGCTTGTGCCATCTATCAGAAATGAGTTCGGGTGGGTGGGCCTGTCCGCAGAAAGAATCTAGAATGTGCCCTTTTCACATCACTGAAATCTCGCCACTATCCCAATGGAGTGGATGGCAATTAAATATTGTAAAGATTTCCTATGGTCAGGTTTGGGGTGTCGTCTGGAAATGGAACACGGAGGAGTCTGCTCAAGCACAAATCGCCTTAGGCTCTAGCCTCCCCCTCCTTCCCCGGCAAGCACTGAGCACCACGCTGAGCACTCACCACGACGCACCCATGCCTGGAACTTGGGCACTGGCACCACTCTTTCCGGGCCCCTTCCCCAGGGGAAAGAGGAGGTAGAGGCAGCCATACACCAACGACCTTCCTAGGATCAACTCATCCTCTGATGTCCTAGCTGCAATGTTGGTGGAAGTGACAATAAAACTAAACCCAAAACTAGTTCTACGACTAATGCTAGCACTAATAAATAGTCACCAATTTGAAATGACTACCCCCACAATTCTCGAAACTGGAGGCGTAAGGGGCTTCGAGGGGAGTCAAGACCCTGGAAGGTCCCAGGCCCGGCTGGGGTTAGGACTTGTGTGTATGTGGTGTGTGTGTGTGTGTGTGTGTGTGTGTGTATGTGTGTG